AAGAGGAGTATGAGAGAGAGGAGGCGGAGTACGGGGCCATGGCTATACCACCTAGAGACCGAGAGGAGTTGGGGTTGCGCAGCGGTGGGAAGGATGGCAGGACAGAGCAGAAGCAGCCTGAAAGGAGAACCCCTCGGCAACGAGAAGAAAGTAATAAGCCGAGGACGGCTCGACGGCATCCTGAGGAGAGACTCGTCTGCCAACCTACGGCTCTGGTGGTAGAACCTAAGGCAGTGGCTGTCACGGGCATACCAGTGGAGAACGCCATAGTGGATACAGGCGCACAGAGTGTCCTGCTGGGAAGGAAGCTGACAGAACAGTTACGGGAGAATGGGGACTTGGTAATAGTAAACAGAGGCATACTGATCATGACAGCCGAGGGAGGGGCACCAAAGTGGATGCCCTGCACTAAGGACCCCATCGAGATTACTCTGCAGCCGGGAGAGAAGGGAGAAACGACGATAAGAGTGCAATGTGGGTTGACGGAATCGGAGGATTATGATGTTCTGCTGGGGATGGAGCTGCTGTTCAAGATAGGTACAACAATATGTACCTGGCAGGAACAGGTGCTCTACCGCTCGGATTTCTGGATCGAGGGAAAGGAGTTGAGTGAGCTGCCGGTGCGGTTTGTCAAGACAGAACCGAAGAAGGCTTGGAGGGCGGAAGGCGTGAGAAGAGAGAGCGTAAGGAGGGGGAGTACCAAAGAGGGCAAGGTCGGAGCTAACCTGGACCAGTATAGCGTTACCTTAGTGGAGCTGTTTGGAGGGTTGGGGGCAGGCTTAGCGGCGGCATTGGAAGCAGGCCTGAAGGTGATAAGATGGGTGTATGTGGAAATAGCCCCAGAGGTGAGGAGGATGGCTTGGAAGCATGCACAGATACTGCAGCAGCGGTACCCAGCTCTACTGGCGAAGGAAGTGATACGGGAGGCCATGCAGAACGAGAAGTGGGATGTGGGACAGCTTACCAGGGAAGATGTGAACCGCTGGGGAAAGGTGGAACTGTTGGTAGCAGGGTGGGAGTGCCAGGGTACTTCCCGAGCGGGGAAGGGAAGAGGAATGCAAGATGACCGCACGGCGATGGTGACAACACTACTGACGATTATGAGGTGGGCGAGAGAATCTGGCGGGGAATATGCTTACATCCTAGAACATGTGGATATGAGGAGTGATATCAGGGAGCCGGTCCGAGCCGTACGCGAGCTAGTGGAAGCAGAATTGGGAAGGGGAGTGAGTTGTGATGGGGCACAGCTGGGGGCAAGGTGTCATAGAGTGCGGCAGTACTGGCAGAACGTCCTGCCAGAAGGAGAACTGAGGGCGAGATTAGCAAGGGTGGAGAGAGATGAGAGCCGAATTGTGGAAGACATCCTGGAACCAGGGAGAGTGGCCGCCCCAGTGGTAAAGCCAGATCATCCGCGACAGTATCAGTGTAACCGAGTGGGGGAAGCAAGGAGGGCCTGGCCGACACTGGTGGCTTACGCAAAGGCACGGGGATTTGTCGAAGTGGAAGGGACTCCAGGTCCAGGGATGGTGTACGATCACCGTAAGAAAAGATGGGAGGAGCCGACGGCTTTGGAGCGGGAATTAGCCATGGGGTACCTGCCGGGGGCAACAGCAGCAGACGGAGTGGGGGAGGAGGTGCGCAAAGCTGCCTTGGGCAGAGCCATAGACCAGCACTCGCTGCGATGGCTAGTTAGTGAGATGAGAAAGGGGCCAGCCGAGAAAAGGGGAAAGACGGAAGAGGAGAAGGGCAGGGGCGGCAAGCAGGCTGCTTACACCGCTGTCAGCAAGCTCACAGACGAGAAGGAGATCGATACTGCACCACCAGTAGGCAAGGAAGCAGAGCCGGGCAAAACCTGGGAGCTGGGGGCAGGTATAGGGGAGCAAGCAGCTGAAGCAATCAGGGAGGTGTTGCAGCAGCATAGGGGCACCTTCGCCTATAACCTGCAGGAATTGGGGAGATACAAGGGGAGAGAGCTGGAGCTGAACCTCACGACCGAGCTACCTACATACCAACGCAGGAGGCGAATGAATGCGGAGGATGCAGCCATCTGCAAAGAGAAATGTGAGGAGTTGCTAGCTGCAGGGATTATTCGCCCGTCTGAATCAAGTTACGCGGCGGCCACGGTGGTAGCTGCTAGGAAGGACATCACGGGAAAGATTCTAGCGAAGCGGATGTGCGGGGATTTCCGGGAGCTGAACAAGATTACAAGCCCTGACAGATACCCTATGCTGACTGCTGAAGACATTTTCGACCGGCTGGAAGGGGCCACCGTTTTCACCACCTTGGACCTGCGGCAGGGCTTCAATCAGATAGGCATTAGAGAAACAGATAAACGGAAAACTGCATTTCACGGGGTGGACGGGTTGTATGAGTACAACGTTATGCCTTTCGGGCTTCGTAACGCACCAGCAGTGTTCCAGAGAGCCATGGATCAAGTGCTGAAGGGGATTCCAGCTGCCGCCTGCTACATTGATGACGTGTTGATTTATACCAGCAGCGAAGAACAGCATGTGCAAGATCTGAAGCAGACTCTAGAGGCGATAGCAGCTGCAGGGCTGACGTGTCACCGAGATAAGTGTAAGATGGCGAGGCACACGGTGGCCTACCTGGGGTTTGAAGTGAAGGGCGGTCGGCTGGCCATACAAGAGGCGAAGGTTAAGGTGCTGGAGAACCTGGCAGCGCCAAAGGACAAGACAGGGCTGCGGGCGTTACTCGGCTTCCTGAATTATTACAGGAAGTTTGTATCAAACTTCAGTCGCCGCGCCTACGTACTGAACCAGCTGCTGAGGGAAGGGAAGAGCTGGCAATGGGGAGAAGTGGAGGAGGCAGCAAGGCAGGACTTGCTTGAAGCAGTTAGGACAGGGACCTTACTGCAGATACCGAGGGCAGAAGCGCCTTTCATCCTGTACACGGACTGGAGCAGTACGGGAATGGGAGCGGTGCTCTGCCAAGAAATCGAGGGAGAGGAAAGAGTGATAGCCTTTGCTAGCCGCAGCTGCAGCCCATCCGAGGCTAACTACTGCTCATACGAGGGAGAGGGTCTGACGGCAGTGTGGGGAATCACGCATTTCAAGGTATAACTACAGGGCCGGCACTTCACATTAGTGACTGATCATCAGCCACTGCTATGGTTGATGACTAATCAAGAGCTGACAGGAAGAAACGCTCGATGGGCTATCAAGTTGCTGGGATTCGACTTTGAGATCCGGCACCGACCGGGTAAAACACTGCAGCATGCAGATGGGCTGTCAAGGAACCCACCACCGATGCAGCCGGTAGCGCAGCTGGCGGCCTTAGCCCACGCCGTGGCCGTGACCTGGGGGCAGGAGAAGGGAGAGAAGCGGTTAGCAGATATATGGGAGGACGAGGAGACCATGAGCTGGATCAAAGAGGAGCCACTGGAGGAGGAAGGCGTTAGTGAGAGAGCAAGAGCCAGCGGGCAGCATTACAGATGGTTTCAGGAGCAGCTGCAGCTGAGGACCAGCGAAGGATGGAGGGTAGTATCGCAGCCGCAAGAGAGGAACAGGATCATGGGGAAGGTGCATGCGAAGCTAGGACATTACGGCATCACCAGGACACGGCAGCTGTTGAGCACCATGTACTGGTGGGCAAGCATGGGGAAGGATGTGGCAGGACTGGTAGCCAGCTGCGAGGCGTGTCAAAGGAATAAAGCAAGGCTGGAAAAGGAGAGGGAGGAGCTGAACTCACTACCGATTCGGGGGTTAGGTTACAGGTGGTCGCTGGACCTGGCAGGAAAGTTACCATTATCAAAAGGAGGGAAGCAGTACATTCTGATCATGGTTGAGCACACGAGCAAATGGGTGGAGGCGCGGGCATTACCAAGCAAGAGTAGCGCACTGATAGCGGGCGCATTCGAGGAGTTAGTACTGACCAGGTACGGGGCATGTGGAGAGGTGCTTACTGATCAAGGGACAGAGTTTCAAGGGAGCTTTGATGAGCTGCTAGAAGAAATGGGCATCACGCATCGTGTCACCTCAAGGTATCACCCTCAATCGGACGGGCTGACAGAGAGGCTCATACAAACCGTGAAAAAAGGACTTCGGGCCTATGGAGAGACACACAAGAGGAGTTGGGACAGGGATCTCTGGTGGGTGCTTGCAGGATACCGGTTTGCGAAGCAGGCAGCGCTGAAGCATCTGTCCCCGTATCATCTACTGTACGGACGGGACCCGGTGCTACCTGTGGATGCACCGAAGCTGCTCTCGGCGACAATTGAAGCGGACGAGCCGAGCCTGTGGGCGGGATTAGCGGAGAAGAGGGCGAGGTATCTGAAAGAGCTGACTCCAGCTGCCTTGGATAATCTACACGTGGCGCAGCTGAGGGATGCAAGGCGGTACCAGCAGCGCAAAGCAGGAGGGATGGGAGGAAAGAGTGACAAAGTGGAAGCGGGGCAGGAGGTGTACCTGCGCAGGGCTAAGCGAGATACGCTGGAATTAGCTGTGGGACCGGAGCGATGGAGGGTGAAAGAGGTAAGGGAGTCGGGGGTGCTAGTGCTGGAGGATGATCGAGGGAAGTACCTGAAGGAGCATATCACCAACGTGGCCAGGGCGGGAAGGGAGAAGCCTCAGGCATTGGATCCCGTATCTGGAGCAGCTCGGGTGCGTGCTCAGTCACGGGAGGGGGCAGGGAAGCCTGAGATACGAGGAGGGGATCAGAACAGAGTGATTACATACGTCAGGAGGAAGAAGGGATGAGCCGGTCACCTGGATGAGAGGCGGAGGGAGAGGGAGGAGGAAGTCAGGCAGGGATTCAAGGGAGAGTGAGAAGGAAGGGACAGCAGAGGGGGATTCACGACATATTGCTCTGTTGTGGGCGATGGAATGGGAGATTATGGGGGGGGATGAGCAGACAGTTCCACGTGAGGAGCGAGGAGAGGCGAGGTGAGGAGATGAGATGAGAGGAGAGGAGAGGAAAGGGGAGGAGAAGGCCTTAAAGCCCAAAAAAAAAAAAAAAAAAAAAAAAAAAGGGAGGAGAAGGGTTTAGGGTTGAAAGGAGAAGAGAGGCGAAGGGAGAAGAGGAGGGACGAGGCGAAGAGAGGGGAGGAGGGACGAGGCAAAGATTGCACAGGAGAAAAGAGGAGATGAGGTTCGGGGGGTGACCAAGGCAGCATGTGCATAACAAGGTAGCAAGTGCACACGGAAGCAAGTGCACAGCCGTGGCCACTCACTGGTGGCCTTGGTGCACGAGGCGGAGCCGAGGTTGCCCCAGTCGGAGGAGGAGACGCAGCCCTTGAGGCACGCCACAGTGTAGGGCGCGGTGCTGCTGGCGTGGTAGTGGTAGAACGCCGGCTCGCCCCCACTGCCGTCGCCCACGTGCCCCCCACACTCGTCCACCCCTGCTGGCAGCGCTCCCCCCGCTCCCCGCGGGCCGAAGAGCGGGATGCCGTCCGTCAGAAAGCCCAGCAGTGGCGAGTGCTGCCCGGGGGCGTCCTGCCAGAAGGACGCGCTGCCAATGGAGTAGGGGGAGGGCGGAGGGTAGGCAGGCGGAGACAAGGGGGGATGGACGGTTGGGATGCCAGGAATGCTACGAGGTGAATGGCATGAGGCAGCGCATGGTACATGGAAGGAGCAGAGGTTGCAGGTGAGGGAATGGGGGAGCGCACTTGCAGAGGTTGAAGTTGGTGGAGCGAGATGCGGAGATGGCAGAGGGGTTGGCGACGCCGGGCGCCACGTGGTAGTGGTACTGGCCTGAGGGCGTGGGGTGCCCGCCACAGGGCGTCAAACGTGGCGCCCTAGTACTGCAAGGCGTCCCGCCCCAGGGCGTCACACGCACTGCCAGGGGGAGAGGGAGGGGGAGGGACACGGAGGGACGATGCGGGCGTGAGATGGTATGCACACCACTGGGACTCACACGCTTCTTCGTACTGCCTGGCATCGCACGCAAGGGCAGCAGGAGAGCAGCACGTGGGGCCAGGCCATGCCATGGGCGGCACACTGCGGAACGAGATGCAGAACTCCAACTCCTTGTCAGCCCACTGCCCCTACCCTCTCCCCCTCGCCCCTTCCCTCTCCCCCCTCCCTCCCCCCCTGCACCTGTAGAAGGGCACGCCGTTGAGTGCGAAGCCGATGGGCCCCATCTTGCAGGTGCCGCTGAGGGCGACGGGGATGGCGGAGGAGGCGAGCGTGGGGGCGAGCGGCACGGCGAAGGACAGCGCCTGCTGCACTGGCGAGTACTGCGTGGCCTGCCCCCGCCATGCGTACCCCGGACACCCGTTGCTCTCCATCACCCTGCCATGGCCGGGAGGACAGGGCAGGGGGAACGGGGAAGAGGGAACGGGGCAGGGGGAACAGGGCAGGGGGAACGGGGCAGGGGGAACAGGGCAGGGGGAACGGGGCAGGGGGAACGGGGCAGGGGGAACGGGGCAGGGGGAACGGGGCAGGGGGAACGGGGCAGGGGGAATGGGGCAGGGGGAACGGGGCAGGGGGAACGGGGCAGGGGAAACACGGCAGGGGGAACGGGGCAGGGGGAGGCAGGGGGAACAGGGCAGGGGGAACAGGTCAGGCGGAACAAGACAGGGGGAACAAGGAAGGGGGAACAGGGCAGGCGGAAAAAGGCAGGGGGAACAAGGCAGGGGGAACAGGGCAGGCGGAAAAAGGCAGGGGGAAAAGGGCAGGGGGAACAGGGCAGGGGGTACAGGGCAGGGGGAACAGGTCAGGGGGAGAACAGGGCAGGGGGAACAGAGTGATGGAATGGAGAAAAGGGGGCAGAGAAAGCGATGGAAAGGAAATGCATGCATGGGGGTAAGAGATGAGAGGATGTGAGCGTGCATGCAGAGTGGCTGAGCGGGTGGGCGCACCTCTTGCCATTGCTGCTCGTGAGCTTGGCACTCCTGCTGCTGCTGCTGCTGTTGCCACACGCACTCCCACCCGATGACCCGCTGCTTCCCCCCATGCCTCCTGCGCCTATGCCTCCTCCGCCCATGCCTCCCCCACCCACGCCTCCTCCGCCCATGCTTCCTCCCCCCATGCCTCCTCCGCCCATGCCTCCTGCGCCCATGCCTCCTCCGCCCATGTCTCCCCCGCCCATGCCTCCTCCGCCCATGCCTCCTGCGCCCATGCCTCCTCCGCCCATGCCTCCCCCACCCACGCCTCCTGCGCCCATGCCTCCTCCGCCCATGCCTCCTCCGCCCATGCCTCCCCCACCCACGCCTCCTCCGCCCATGCCTCCTCCGCTCATGCTTCCTCCCCCCATGCCTCCTCCGCCCATGTCTCCTGCCCCCATGCCTCCTCCGCCCATGCCTCCCCCACCCACGCCTCCTCCGCCCATGCTTCCTCCCCCCATGCCTCCTCCGTCCATGCCTCCTGCGCCCATGCCTCCTCCGCCCATGCCTCCCCCGCCCATGCCTCCTCCGCCCATGCCTCCTGCGCCCATGCCTCCTCCGCCCATGCCTCCCCCACCCACGCCTCCTCCGCCCATGCCTCCTCCGCCCGTGCCTCCCCCACCCACGCCTCCTCCGCCCATGCCTCCTCCGCTCATGCTTCCTCCCCCCATGCCTCCTCCGCCCATGCCTCCTCCGCCCATGCCTCCCCCGCCCATGCCTCCTCCGCCCATGCCTCCTCCGCCCATGCCTCCTGCGCTCATGCCTCCCCCGCCCATGCCTCCTCCGCTCATGCCTCCTCCGCTCATGCCTCCTCCGCCCATGCCTCCTGCGCCCATGCCTCCTGCGCCCATGCCTCCTGCGCCCATGCCTCCTGCGCCCATGCCTCCTCCGCCCATGCCCCCTCCGCCCATGCCCCCTCCGCCCGCATTACCCGTTGGTCCGCTCATCCCGCCACCTCCTTGCGACCCGAACCCGCCCTGCCCGCTCTGCCCGCCGCTCATCGCGCCACTTCCGCCGCCGCCGCTGGTCCGCGGGGGGCGGAAGAAGGACCAGGCTCTGCGTGTCCCCGATCCCCCCACCAAGCCGCCGAATCTTGGAAGGCCGAGCGAGCGCGCGCTGCACGCCGCGTGATCGACGCCCGCGAAGCAGAGGAGCGCCACGAGCGCGAGGGCCAGCACGACACGGGACGACGGGAGGCGACGCGTCATCATGGCGGGCGGCGCGTAATGCTAAATGGTTACTGCGACGAATCGAACCTTGTGTGAACTGGAGGGAGAGCGCGAGGCGAATGGGAGTGGCGAGGCAGGACAGGAGCGACGACGGTCCGAGTCGGAGCCCACGTGGCGATGCTGGCGGGTGGCCGAGCGAGATTCGAGAGGCGTGGCCTGAAAAGAAACCTGAGAGCGCTGAGGAATGCGACCAGCGACGTCGCTATTTGTACTTGCACTGCCATCGCCGCCGCTGCCATGAGGCAAAGTCGCTCGACGTGCGTAGATTAGGGGAAACTGATGCGTTGTTTTGACTGTTGGGACGATCCAATGGATCTGGGAGTCAACGCGAATCAAGTCAACGGTGTGGAACTGTTGACTGACGCTTGGGCGAAAGTGTGTGAGCGAGTCAGCGTTCTCGTTAGAGTGCTTGTAGTGAGCTACCACATTATTATGTCTGATATGCATAGCACATCATACCAGTAACACTTCTAATCTTGGTCTACTGCTATCTTCATGTCATAATAAGTTGGATATTCCATGCAGGCGTTTTGTTTTTTATAGAAAACATATACGTAGATTTGGTTTCAATACGGTATTAATGGAACTCATGAAGTTGTATTCTCAACGTAGAGAAGAGAGTGCTCTCCAGGGGCTAACAAAAGTCAAACAGTACGATACGAAATAATTTCTGAGCTGTAGTCCTGCTACATTTGTAACTATATTTTGCTGAAACCAAGGGCTTCATTTTGTAACTACAACTTCTGTTCATACACCCGGTCAATATTGTGTTGGGAACAAATAGCCTTAAGCGCTTATGTCGTGTCGAAACTTCAAGACACAAGCGAAGCAGCGCAAATCGAAGCACCAGCGAGTCAACCCTCGGAGTTGATGTAACCGCTGGAGGTTACGAGAAAGTCAAAGGTCAGCGACCTTTGACTTGACAAATGCGGCGCGACAGCAAGGACACACAACTGACTCGACATTGAGCAGTTGCCCGAGTCGCACTGTATCGAACCGCAACAGTAAAGTAGTTACAATTATGTCTCTTCATATTCTCTGTACTCATACGGTATATATATTCTTGTATCCCTTTGTTTTAATCAACTTACTTTGCCCTCACATACTAGCGCAAGGTGGTTCAAGGTCTTTATCAAAACGCTTCCGCTACTACATCATTTACTCATACTTTAACTCTACTAAAGATCCTAGGGCGTTCAGCCCAACATGGTATGAGAGCTGGTTAGAGTTAATATTTTCTCTTCAACACTTAATACATCAAGAAGACATGTCTACTAGAAAGGAGAGGAGCTCCTCCAACGGCTCTCCCGGTACTACCCCTACTCCACCTCCTGCCTCTGGCCTACTGACAGAGGAAGGGACAACAACTAGACCAGCAGCTGGGTCTACGGAAACACCCGCAAACCAAGGCGCGGGCTTCGATCCAAGTATGATGGAGAAATTATTCTCCTTCATGTCCTTCTACGAGCAGCATCAGCAAGGAGTACCTGCGCAATCAAACAACAGCAACAACAACAACAACGTGACGCCCATGAGTCTCGATGGCTCATCCTACGCACGCGGAAATCAACATCAACAACCTACCTTCGCTCCGTACGAGCCCCAGCGCGGCTCCGTCAGCTTCATGCCGCAACCACAACCTGCACCGGGACAAGAAAGAGCACTGGACGCACTACAAGTTCAGTCGCAATTCGCGCATGTTCTGAAACTACAAACGACAAAACCTTTCGACGGGAAGGATTTCTTTACCTGGTCGTTCGAATTCGAGCTGATGATGGAAGGAGCGCAGATCCTTGGCTTCTTCGACGGGTCCCTGCCATATCCAACAAACGGCACACAGTATGAGAAGCAGCAGTACACCTATCAATCAATGATGGCGTACACAATACTACTGAGGAACATCACCCCGACTCAACAGCAGAACATAAGGACTTACCGAGGTTACGGTAACTCCGCGGAGCTCGCGTACAACCACTTGAAGAACCTGTATCAAGCAACAGACAGCGTAAATCAAAGTCGGTTAATGGCGCAGCTGACAACAATCGAAATGAAACCAGGCGAGAAGAGAATGGCATATATCAGTCGCTGTCGCGAGCTGCGCGACAAGCTTCTTCGATGTGGAGGATCGATTTCAGAAGACGCCTTCGTCACGGTTGTCATCGGCGGTCTTGGCCCTCACTGGCGCTCCACTCGCGCCATACTACAAGCACACGGGAGAATCTCCGAAGCAGCACTCTGCGCCGAAATCCATGCCGAGCAGCAGGACATGGACCTGCAAGAAGAACGACATAAGAAGAAAACGTCAGTACCAGAGTTCGCGTTTCACACCCAGCGACGCTACAACAACTGTCAGAATATTATCTTATTGTTCTAGCCTGTAGTGGGGTGCTCTATAGCGAGTACAACCCTTCTAGGGTTTGCTATTTGTATCCTCATTCTTGCTAGTTCAACAACAACAACAATCGGCAGCAACAACAATTGAAGCCAGTACCTCCGTTTTGCCACATTTGCAAGACTTCAGGGCATCCTCGTACGCACTGCCCGCATCGTCAGCAATCGACAACATCACAGCGACAACTTCGGCCTTCAAGCTCCCAAGTCACTTCAACGCAAGTAAATCCCACGACAAATATTCAAGCCTCAACAACTCCAACAGGACAACCTGCACAAGGAGCAAGAAACATCGTCAACTGCAAGGCAAAGACAACAGATTCCTGCATCACCGAATCACCGCCGCACTACTCACCAGAAGAACGACTTGACGAAACCACACCTCGACGCGAGTCACTTCAGCCGAACCCGACATACGCCGCCATCGCTCAAAGCGAGCCATCCGGAAGAGACACTTGGTTCTTGGACAGTTGCTGTGGACAACACATGTGCTCCTTAGGACGTTTCGTTCAACGCGAGCACCGACTTCAACGAGAAGTCGTCATCACCGTCGCCAATAATCAGAACCTGCGAACAAGACGACAAGGCATAGTACAGCTTCAGTCATGGGAGACGAACGTCATACTACAAATGTCGAAAGTCCTAATAGCAGAGGGACTCGGCTACAACTTACTGAGCGTCAGTCAGCTGATGGCGAAAGGCATACACCTGGAAGCCGACAGCACCACCCAGGAGTTCAAACTGTACCACGGGAAGGGCGACCTCTACATCGGAAAGGCGGTTCTGAAGAATAACGTCTTTGTCCTTGACTTCGTCCCTGACCTGGGCAGCGCAGACAGCGACGCCATCGTGAACTTCGCCGACTGGACGCACCCTCCAGATCTTGATCCAGACTTCAGCCCGGAAGGCTTCTGGTACTCGCACACCATCCCTGAAGCAGAACGAACACGCGCGTTAGCAACTATTCAACATTCGGCAGCAGCAGAGACAACATCGGCAGCAGCAGAGATAACATCGGCAGCAGCAGAGACAACATCGGCAGCAGCAGAGACAACATCGGCAGCAGCAGAGACAACATCGGCAGCAGCAGAGGCAACACCGGCAGCAGCAGAACCATCGTCAGCTGCAGCGACACCAGTTCTCGTTGACGAAGCACCACCAACACTCGCACAGCAGCTGAACCCAACTCAACGAGAAGTCCACAGAAGCGCAAACTTCGTCGCCAGCTTCTACTCCAACTCCGATGCGTATCGACGCTTACCCGGACACCGCGCCTCCGAAGACATCTGGCACGCACGCATGGGACATCCAAGCAACACCGTGTTAAATAATACAATAAGAGCAGGAGTCCTAGACAAGGATTCATTACTACTACCCGACGGCAGAGAACTTCAACGGGCACAAGGAACTTGCCTCACCTGCCCCGAAGCCGACTTACCACATCGACCGTTTACTCCTCACCACAACCCGAGGGCACCCGCGTACGCACCACTCGAGAAGGTGTATAGCGATATTCTCTTCAATCGAGAACCAGGACAAGTTACTTGCAACTACACGATAACCTTCATCGACGCCGCCACTCGATACGTCTGGCACCTAAACCTACCCAGCCGCGACATGGCACTCGCAGCGTTCGCCGCCTGGCTACCAGTAACAGAGAGAGAGTCGGGAGCACAACTGAAAAGCTTCCAGTCAGACAGAGGAGGAGAATACACCTCTCAGCGCTTCAAGCAGTACCTGGCGGAAAGAGGAATCAAACAGCTCCTCTCCCTTCCCTACGCCCATCAACAGCAAGGTGTCGCAGAAAGAATGAACAGGACTCTGCATGTGAGAGTACGACGGCTTATGCCAGCTATGCTTGCTTGCCTCTACTTTATCATGCTATTTCTAGCATAGGATAATCATATGCATGCATGAATTGCTTGATTTCCTAGGCTAGGTGCTTTCCTATATTTTATTATAGTTATAGCACCGAGCTAGGTTGCGTGCACCGAATTCTGGCTTTTCGGTTGCCACCGAATTGCCTTCTACCGAATTCGGTAAGGATCTGTTCGGGACGCTTCGCGACCCGCGGAACCTTCGCGTAACACCTGGTTACGGGGCCTTGTGTCGAGCCTATATATAGCCTCGTGTTGTACCCAGGTGATCATTCAATTCAATTTGAATCATCTTTTCTGAGCTCGATCCCAGATCCTCACACTTGGTAATCAGAGCGGGTTTACACGCGAGGTCTTCAACCGCTTAGTTCCGGCCTTTAAAAACCGCGGGGGCGACGACGAAAGCGCCGATACGGGTATGTAAAACCAGTTCCGCACAATTTTTCTAAGTCCTCCTCGATTCGGTTTCCGAACACCCCTCAGATTTACTGGTGGAAAGGTTGGAGTTTCGACCGTTCGATCGAGTTTCATCTCAACGGCCCAGAGAATTTCGCCCAAAAAAGTTGGAATTTGGAGCGTCGGATCGATTTTCTCCTCAACATCCAAGATCGGACGCGAATTTCGCCTAAGGGAGATTTACGCAACCTACAGAATTCGCGCTCGTCGATTCTACAGTCAATTTGACTCGCAGTAAGTCGACCAGAACCTAGA